GAACACCGCCTTGACTAAGGAAGGAGGAAGCATTGAGCGGGAGCAGTGGTTTTGTCGGGACGGGGGCTGTCGGCGGCGAGGAAAAGCACCGTCCCGAGGACAACAAACACGAAATCTCGAGCGGGAGCGTTGTTCTTGCTGGGAGCGGCGCCACTTCAAAAGAGAGCAGGCCGCTAGTCCAACGTGAAACGGAAGGATTTCTCGGGCGGGAGCGCTGGTTTCGTCGGGGCGGCGGTTTTCGGCGGCGAGGAGGAACACCGCCTTGAGTAAAAAAGTGAGGAAACCTCGAGCGGGAGCCGTGGTGTTGTCGGGACGGGGGTTGTCGGCGGCGAGGAACAGCACCGTCTTCAGGAAAAAGGAGCGACGCCTCGAGCGGGAGCGTTGTTCTTGCTGGGAGCGGCACCACTTCAAAAGAGAGTAGGGCGCCAATCCAACGTGAAACGGAAGGAAGTCTCGGGCGGGAGCGCTGGTTTTGTCGGGGCGGCGGTGTTCGGCGGCGAGGAGGAGCACCGCCTCGGGCGGGAGGACGCCTCGGGCGGGAGCATTGTTTTTGCTGGGGGCGGCGCCGATGAGAGAAAGACTACCGCGCCAGTCCAAGGTAAAGCGGGAGAACGTCTCGAGCGGGAGCGCTGGTTTTGTTAGGACGGCGGCTTTCGGCGGCGAGCAAGAACACCAGCCCTGAGTAAAAAGGGAGGAAGTCTCGAGCGGGAGCGTTGTTGTTGTTGTTGTTGTTGTTGTTGTAGTTGTAGTTGTAGTTGTAGTTGTTGTTGTAGTAGTAGTAGTAGTAGTAGTAGTAGTAGTAGTAGTAGTAGTAGTAGTAGTTGTTGTTGTTGTTGTTGTTGTTGTAGGTGTTGGGGGGGGGGGGGGCAATTGTGGCGGTCCCCCAAACCGCTCGAGCGTGAGCCTCAGTTTCAATGAGAACGTAGCCTGCGCCTCGGCGAGAGCGCCAGGGCGCCTATAAAGGGGTCCAACAATAATAATTGTTTATACATTCGCATTCAACAACAACAACAACAACAACAACAACAACAACAACAACAACACCAACAACAACAACAACAACAACAGCACCAGCAACATCAGCAGCAACAACAACACCAAGCACAGTCAGCTTAAAACTGTTCGCTCGTATCTGTTCGCGGGCCATTCAGCACGTCTATCCCATATTCGATCGTATCCCCTTGGGGGTATACCTTTGTTACCTGCAACGTGTACTTCGTGCAGCACCTAAGGCAGGGGACGAGAGGACGGATGGAAGGACGGGACAAGCTGGAAAGAGGAAGATAGAGCACGAGAGAGAGTAGCGGGAGGGAGGCTAGGAGCAGAAAACACTTGGCAGAGCCAGACGGTCAGATCGGGCGGGCAGGCCCTAACAGGTGGGGCCAGGCGGCCAGGTCGAGCAGGCGGTTTGCTGAGGGGTGCGTCCTGCATGAATCGCGGGGAAACCTTGACCAACAGCGCGATTCGTTAATAAATCTGGTGGGGAAATCCAGAGCGAGAGCGTGATTCCTGAGTGTCGACGGCGCTGCGCCTGAATCAATTGCGAGGGAGTCCCAAGCGACAGCGCGACTCCTGAGCGTCGAAAACGCGAGGCCTGAATCAAATTGCGAGGAAGTGTCCAGCGAGAGCACGACTCTTCGATAAGTTGCAAGGAAGTCCCTAGCGAGCGCGCGAACCTTCAAGAAATACAGGGAAGTATCAGGCGGGAACCATTGTTGTAACCCAGGGGCCAGGGGCACATATTGAGCAGGAAGACTTGGTTCTGTAAAAACACAGCGAGCCCCCTGGGAGGGGCACTTCAAGTAAGAAAACATGAATGTGACGCGAATGTGTCCTGCATAATTCGCCAGGAAGTCTCGGGCGAGAGCGCGATTCCTAAGTAAAGTATGAAGAATTCCCAAGCGCGATTCCTGAATGGCGAGGGCGTAGCGCCTGAATAGATTGCGAGGGAGTCTCAGGCGAGAGCGCGATTCTTGGATAAATTGCAAGGAAGTCCCTAGCGAGAGCGCGATTCCTTAGCAACTTGTAAAAGATATGCAGCGGGAGCCGTTGTTTACGGGCGCAGCCCGTAATTTGATTCTCGCGAGGTAGACACTGACAGACTGAACTGAACCACCAGGACGTTAGATGGCAGTTTTATTTCCGCGGGTGAGGATATTTCGGGTGGCAGTTTTAAGCCAGCTGGTGAGGATATTTCGGGTGGCAGTTTTAAGCCAGCGGGTGAGGATATCTCGGGTGGCAGTTTTAAGCCAGCGGGTGAGGATATTTCGGGTGGCAGTTTTAAGCCAGCGGGTGCGGATATCTCGGGTGGCAGTTTTAAGCCAGCGGGTGAGGATATTTCGGGTGGCAGTTTTAAGCCAGCGGGTGAGGATATCTCGGGTGGCAGTTTTAAGCCACCGGGTGAGGATATCTCGGGTGGCAGTTTTAAGCGCCAGCGGGTGAGGATATTTCGGTGGCAGTTTTAAGCCAGCGGGTGAGGATATCTCGGGTGAGGATATTTCGGGTGGCAGGTTTAAGCCAGCGGGTGAGGATATCTCGGGTGGCAGGTTTAAGCCAGCGGGTGAGGATATCTCGGGTGGCAGGTTTAAGCCAGCGGGTGCGGATATTTCGGTGGCAGTTTTAAGCCAGCGGGTGAGGATATCTCGGGTGGCAGTTTTAAGCCAGCGGGTGAGGATATTTCGGTGGCAGTTTTAAGCCAGCGGGTGAGGATATTTCGGTGGCAGTTTTTATCCAGCGGGTGAGGATATTTCGGGTCGCAGTTTTAAGCCAGCGGGTGAGGATATTTGGGTGGCAGTTTTAAGCGCCAGCGGGTGAGCATATTTCGGTGGCGGTTCTGAGCCAGCGGGTGAGGATATCTCGGGTGAGGATATTTCGGTGGCAGTTTTAAGCCAGCGGGTGATGATATTTCGGGTGGCAAGTTTAAGCCAGCGGGTGAGGATATCTCGGGTGGCAGTCTTAGGCCAGCGGGTGAGGATATTTCGGGTGGCAGTTTTAAGCCAACGGGTGAGGATATCTCGGGTGGCAGTTGTAAGCCAGCGGGTGAGAATATTTGGGTGGCAGTTTTAAGCCAGCGGGTGAGGATATTTGGGTGGCAGTTTTAAGCCAGCGGGTGAGGATATTTCGGTGGCAGTCTTAAGCCAGCGGGTGAGGATATTTCGGTGGCAGTCTTAAGCCAGCGGGTGAGGATATTTGGGTGGCAGTTTTAAGCCAGCGGGTGAGGATATTTGGGTGGCAGTTTTAAGCCAGCGGGTGAGGATATTTCGGTGGCAGTTAAGCCAGCGGGTGAGGATATTTCGGTGGCAGTTTAAGCCAGCGGGTGAGGATATCTCGCAGGCAGTTTTAAGCCAGCGGGTGAGATATAGCGGGGTGAGGATATTTCGGTGGCAGTTTTAAGCCAGCGGGTGAGGATATTTCGGTGGCAGTTTTAAGCCAGCGGGTGAGGATATTTCGGTGGCAGTTTTAAGCCAGCGGGTGAGGATATTTCGGTGGCAGTCTTAAGCCAGCGGGTGAGGATATCTCGGGTGGCAGTTTTAAGCCAGCGGGTGAGGATATTTGGGTGGCAGTTTTAAGCCAGCGGGTGAGGATATTTCGGGTGGCAGTTTTATGCCAGCGGGTGAGGATATTTCGGTGGCAGTCTTAAGCCAGCGGGTGAGGATATCGCGGGTGGCAGTGGCGATTTTCCGCCAGGGACGGTGATGATATTTCTGGGCCAGTTGCGCAAGAGGGCACGCGCGCAGCCGCAGCCTGCCCGCAGCCGCACGCGCGCTCAAGCTCGCTTTTCCACTAGGGAACGCATCGCACTTCCTGCCACATCTTGGGCATCATGCCTGTACGCAAAAAGCCGAGAGGACGACGAGGAGGAAGAAGGCGGAGGACGCGGACGGGATGAGGAGGCAGCAGAAGGGAGGAGGAGGAGGAGGAGGAGGAGGAGGAGGAGGAGGAGGAGGAGGAGGAGGAGGAGAGGAGGAGGAGGAGGAGGAGGAGGAGGAGGGAGGAGCCGAGAAGAGCTGTGCTCGGCGCGGGCATCCAGCCGCCACGCGATGCGTCATTCGCTTGGTTGGCCCAGCCGACGGCTACGCATCCAGCGCGGTGCTGCGCCCGTATATATGCTCGCCCCTTGGCTTGGGGCTGGCGGGGGGCCAAGGGGCGGGCTGTCCGGTCATTGTTCTAGTCCGGAGGCCAGGGGCGCAGTTTGAGCAGGACGATTTTCCCTGATAAAAAAATAGGGTGCGAGCCCCGTAATGCGCACTTTAATTAAAAAACGCATGCGTTACTGGAGGAGGGGGATCAACATTGACTATTTTTCAAATGTGAGAGTCCAACGATAACAGCAGCCGCAACAACACCACCACCACCACCACAAACAACAACAACGACAACCAACCAACCAACCAACCCACCCACCAACCACCCAAACAAACGAACACAACAATAACACCAAAAACAACAACAAAATCAGCAACAGCAACAGCAACAGCAGCATCAACAGCAACAACAAGAATCAGCATCGCGGAATCCCACTTCAGCCACGCACCCAGGGAGAGTGAATGACCGTTCGGCCCCCTCACTCTGATTAATTGCACTATGCTTAGGCTGTGGGGATCGCACGGTCTACGAATGCCTGCCGGGGCCTGGCGAGGGGGCCAGACGGCAATGCGTGTGACTAGTGGAGTGGAAAGGGCAATATCCCTTACAAGTCACTCGACTTGTGAATGAATGCTGCGGTCTGGCGAGGCATCCCAGAGGGATCGACGGAGTTGTTGGTCCTGAAGGGGCAAACGGCACTGGTGAGACTAGTGAAATTGGGAGAACGTCATGAGAAGCTGGGATTGGTGGTATGGAAACAAGACGACGAAAATGGACGAGGCAGCAAGGAAAACAATAAGAATTCGAGAATGGAGGGACATAGAAGCAACCGGTGGAACAGGAGAAGCAGAAGTTGCCGTAGAGACGCACATCGCATGGGGGGGCAAAGAAACGAAGCCTGGCACGCTGCCTCGTCAACGGCCTCCGCGGCTCCTCCGCGAGAGGGAGGGGGTCCGCAGAGACCAGCATAACAACTTGAGAGGAGGCTCCAGATCCGTCAAAACTGCTGTACGCACTCGCTTCAGCCCCTTACGAGAAAATGCCGCTGAAAACATTTGTGCCCTGGTGAATTTGAAAGTCGGCGTCGGATTTCCCATGCTGATATCAATATGAGTCGCCTACCTTTGTAATCTCATCCCTCGGCTGTCTTCTCCATTGCTTCCCGTTCGTCTCTGATTGATTACTTCGCCGCCTCATTTTCATTTCTTCTCATCAGATCGCCCATGTTGTTTGCAGTGAGGCGCTATGTGGCGGGAAAGGCGCCTCTGGCTCCGAATCATCGGTTTCTTCCGAGCTTGTCGAAGAGCGTGACGTAGCTCGCTGAGACCTCCAAAGCATGTGCGAGGGATGCAGGGCCAGAAACCACCCACTTTCGAATCAACGAACACAAAGTGTCAACTGATCCGGTCCCGTTTCTGCCAGATGGGTGACCGCTCGCTTAGAGGCCGAGGCCGCGTTGAAGTTCAATATGGCTGACGGTGTCTGGGTAACGCTTGAAGACATGATGCGTGTACGGCTGAACGGCACAAGCAGATAAACTAAAGCAACATTATCATGCAACATGACGCGCAAATATACCTCGGCTGGGATGCCACTGCAGATGCCGCCACTATTTCATGTCTGGGCAAAAGCCAAAGAACACCCGGAGCGAGCGTGATCAGAATTGCACCACGACTCCAACACTGGCCAGCAGACGCCATCAAACCATGGACCCCTCCCAACACTCTACTCGGCACCCCTGGCAAACGTAGATGTACTCCGGAGGAGGTGGAGTCGGAGGTGCAGGGAGGTGGAGTCGGAGGTGCAGTGGCAAGGGCCCAAGCCCAACGCCAGTGAATCAAAGGTGAGATTTTAGTTAGTCCTACCGTCTGCATGGATGTTTTTGGAGACCGAGGCATGTCAACCCCTTGAAGGCACCAAGAAATCGCACGTGTCGTCGATATCTCACTTTCACTCAAGATGCACAACACATGGAACCAACGAACACCAAACCGATTGAGACATTGCCATGGGATCACAACCACCATGTGCAGAACAATGCTCGAGCCAGCACTGGCAGATCAAAAACAAATATTCTATACCTACCAACAGATATCGCGACACCGTGAGCCAAGCCCCCCCGTCAATTTCTTTCTCCATGAACTTCCCCCCGACGGTGGGATGGAACATCCGAAGGAAACATGCGGTCTCTACGGTCACGTCTTGGAGGTGGACGGGGCATTCCTGAGGCACTCTCCCCCCCCCACTCTGGCTCCGGAGTGCCTCTGCTCTGCCGATGGGGACTGCCTGCTGCAATCTTCGCTCCGGGCAACCTGGGGCACCGGGGTCGCAGGAGAAAAGCCCACGGGAATGCGCGACGACTGGGAGGGGTATGTCTGGGACCGCGATAACTGCCGCCAAAGAGGCCGTAGTTGGGGAGCCTCGAGTAGCAACACGCAGTGGGTGAAAGTGATGATGCCGTAGCATTGCCGATCACATCCATCGAAAGCCCGCCGTGCTTATCCGTGAGCCCCCATCAGCGCGGCGAGCTACGGTGCGTGGTCTGGGGCCCATTGGTCCATCGCTGAATCGAGCTGCGGGCAAACCTTCTCGACGCCGGCTACCATTTGGGGGTTCTGATGGGAGCCTTTTGGAGCGTCTTGAGGGCCTCTCTGGCCGTGTCGAGACAGTCTTTGGCTCGCTTTGATTGCTCTTGGGCCGTCTTGGGGTCCTCTTGGGCCTCCCTGCGGCCGTCCTGGAGGTATTTCAGGCCGCCTCGATGGCCTCTTGGGCCGTCTTGGGGGCCTCTTGTGCGTTCTTGGGGCCGACGTGGGCCATCGTGGGCCGAAAATAGCCGACATTTGGAACTTAGACCTGGGCCGGCACGGGAACGGAAAGAGCGCTGCAGGAACTTGCCCGAGATGGCTCATGGCATCCTGCGCTCCTGGGAGCCTTGGTGTTAAGTTCTTGATGCGTCACCGTCACCGCTCTCTGTTGGGATCCCTGGTGTTCAGAGACTTTTGCATTGCCGCTCGCTCTGGGAAGCCTTGCCCGCTCTCTGGGGAGCCTTTGTGTTAAGAGTTTATTACGTCACCGCTCGCCGTTAGGAGCCATAGTGTTACTTGGCGTCTCTGGAGCTTCTTGGGGTCTTTGGAAAGGCCTTTGGGAGCCTTTTTGGGCGGTCTTGGGGTTATTTGGGGTCGTCTTGGGGCGCTTTTGGGCCGACTTGGGGTGTCTTGGATGGCCGTCTTGGGGATATCTTGGAGGCCTCTGGGGGACCTCTTGGGAAACTCTTTGGGCCCTCTCGGGGCTCTCTTGAAGCCGTCTTGGGGCTCTCTTGGGCGAGTTTGGGGCCCTCTTGGGCCGTCTTGGGGCCATCTTGGACAGTTTTCGGGCCCCTTTGGGGGCCCTCTTGGGCCGTCTCGGGACGATCTTTAGAATCTTGTGGGCCGTTTCTGGCCGTTCTCGGGCCGAAAAAGCGAGAATCCCAACAGACTATCAGAATGCATTGAAAAATAAGATGCCTCTCCGAGGCTCTTGGGCCGTTGGAGACCTTCTTGGATCTTTGGGCGTCGTGGAGGCCTTTGACCGTCTTGGCGCTCTCTTGGGGGCCTCTGGGGGCCCTCTTGGGAGCCTCTTTGGGCCCTGTTGGGGCTCTCCTGAATGGTCTTTGGAGTTTTTTGGGCCGTTTTGGCTGTTCTTGGGTCGAAAAAGCGAGAACCCGAAATGTCCATGTTGTGTGCCTCTTTGGGCCTTCTTGGGAAGCCTCTTGCAGGCCTCTTGGGGCGTTTCGGAGCCCTCTTGGACCGTCTTGAAGCCATCTTCAGCCGTCTTGGAACGGTCTTGGACGGTCTTGGGGTCTCTTGGAGCGCTCTAGGGCCCTCTTGGGTATCGTGGGCAATCCTGGACGCCTCGGCCTTTGGACCTATGTCCCCGCTCCTCCCCCCTTTCTTGGACCCCTCCCCAAAAGACTTCCCCCCAACTCAACGTCATCACTCGTGCCTCGCTCCTTCCGTCACCTGTGTCCCGCTCCTGCCCCTCCCCTGGATCCCTCCCTAGAGGGCTTCGCCCCAACTCCACGTCATCACCCTCATGTACCTCGCTCTTCCCGTCACCTGCTCGGCGCGAGTACTTCGTGAGTGCGCCCGATCGCTTGAATAGGGGGTTGGAACCATCTGGGTGCTAAGACTTGGGAGCGTCACGCAAAAAAACTGAAAACCAGCCTTGCGGACATGAATCCCACCAGCCCTTTGGGCGTGAGTGGTTTAGGGAGCCCGCTCTGTTCTCAACCCCCCTTCTTCCCCTTCGGGGAGGGGTGTACCCCTCCCCCCACCCCCTCCCCCTGGACCTGGAGGGGGCCTTCCGCGGGTGGTCAGAGGGTCCTTTTTCTATCCCTGGGAGGGCTAAAATTCGACACCCCTCACGAGGATCGTCGCCCCCAGGGGGGGGCACTGAAAAATGCTCGCCCCCTCTGCGACCGATCGCCCCCAAGATGGCCTCATCAGGCCCCCAAGACGCTCCAAGAGGCAACCCAGAGAGCCTTCGGACGTTCCCAAGAGGCTCAAAAGAGAGCTCAAGAGGCCCCAAAACGGCATCCAAGAGGCCTCCCTATTGCCTTGGATACGACTACTCCTCCTCCTCCTCCTACTACTACTACTACTACTACTGCTACTACTATTCCCACCACCACTACTACTACTACTACTACTACTACTACTACTACCACTACTACTACTACTACTACTACTACTACGACGACTACCACTACGACTACTACGACTACTACTACTACTACTACTACTACTACTACTACTACTACTACTACGACTACTA